CTCCCAAACCAGTATTCCGCTCGCCACAGCTCGATTGATCTGATCATACAACAGCCCTGAAACAATCGGACGCCACAATGGACACTCCTGATCGCCTAAACCAGTTACAACAATGTGCTGTCGTGCCCAAGGTATAGAACGTTTGAGCGTATGCTCTGCAATTGCTTGTCATACCAAGCCAGGAGTGACGTGCGTAGCCTTCCATGCAATGGCGCGTGCACCAAATGCATGTGCGTACATGCGCGAAAATACGGTGCACCGATGGTTGACCGGGAAACTGAGTGAAGTGCTCAAGATTTGAATATGCAGTGGAATCAAACCAATTTGCACTATGTAAAACCAAGTACCGTCTTTGAACGGAATCTCATCTTATTTTCGCTACGCCAGGAGCGACAAGAGAAGTAATGTAATTCAACTAATCAACATCGGTCGTCGTGCACATCATTTCACTAGGTTATTTCTATCATGGTAGGAGTTAAAGACAATTAAGCACCAGTCTCCGATAGACAATGCACGATTGTAAACATGAAAGTGATCATAAAGACTACGTTCTGAATTGAGGTGTTTAGTCAAGGTCCCCTCACTTAGGAATTAAAAGCTTCTCGTCCTAAGTATGGATAGAGCATTCACGGTAGGATAGGAGTACAATTTAAAGTCGGTGATTAGTCACAAGTATCTCGCTCGCTATCAATGGAGAGTGGGGTTACTAACAGGATGTGGTGGGAGACAGCTCTCTAGAGAACTTGGTGAACGCGCAAGGAGTGCATATCGTTGATACCGATACGACAAATAATTGGGCATCCTGTGCTAGACCGCTGCGTTTGTTAAGCAACTTAAGCGCCCCCAAATATTATCTACTTAACTTGCTCATCGATACCCATGAAACATCGAAAAAGAACGAGAATGTTCGCTTCCAACTTATCCCAGTTTGCTTTAATCGACTCGCCCAATTTATTCTAAGCAAGTGATTAGAAGGTGTCACTGTTACCAGGATCACCAGGCCATCTTAGTCAAGCAAGAAATCGACAGCGACCTATCCCACCCGCATGTTTCTCCCGAAACGGCGATATCACTTCACTGTGCACCATTCAGATAGATGGGTTCCTGTATTATACTCAACGAAGTATAGATCCGCATGAACGTTAACAGAATTATCCTATGACAATTGGAGAAAGCCCGATAGCCAAAGCATAGGTCTACCCAGCCATAATTCACACATCATCAATTCTTTTATTTTGATGCAAGACTGAGTCACTGTAGCTTAAGGATATCCAGATGCTGCAGGCTTTCAACTGTTAATGCCCACGGATTAATTCTACAAACAGGTGGACCGAGGGAGTTTCTGACGCCGCAACACGGCTTCTGCATTCCACAACTAGGTGTATACAACCAGCAGCGTCACGTGTGACAAATTATACATGCCCCCCCCCCCGAGACAAATGGATAACTCTTCCACTCGGTTCCCGAAGGGGCTGCTGTCGTAAATGCCAGGTGAAAAACACGGTTCATTACGGTCGGATTCGGTACTGAATCTGTCTATGATGTCCGCCTAGGAATCGTAATCTGTTCGGACCTCACCAACGACAGTCCAACTGGGTGACTGTACTCCAGGATTTCCCTAGTACACTACCACTTGAAGTGTCACTTGAGGTGCTCGGTCATCTCTTAATACGTGTCTGGGAACGTGTCGAGGATTCATCCTATCCAATGCAGCTTTCAATGACACGGACTTTCCAACGGGTTGACCGCAACACTTCGCTCTACTGCTCCTCCATCTTGCATAGCCAACCGCCATAAACCGAGCTTTTGCTATTCACCAACGTTTCGGATCAGTCCGAGATAGTTGCGTGCGCCATAACTTTTCACCTATTGCGGTTGGATTTTCTAAGGAGACGAGCCGGCTTGCGCCATAACTTTTCACCTATTGCGGTTGAATTTTCTAAGGAGACGAGCCTTCTGAATACACAGGATCCGTGCTACTCAGGCTTGGTGTACGGCGGTGGCATCAGCACAGATGGCAGCCCAGCACTGCTTCTAGTGGCGGAGACTGTTTAGTTGTCGGGATATGTTTTATCATGCAAGAGCGACCGATCTCGATGCAGTGTCCGTCTGAATGTGAGGTATGTTGGACAGGCGGTCCCACAAGCTGAGCCTGCTACCACTTTACATTCGCTCACACGGACCACAGCATTGGTTGGTTTCTGGTTTCTTCGCCGATAGAGATAAATTCAGTCACCGAAACCATCCTCAAGTGACAACGAAGTACTCGTCATCCGACCACGGCAAACTTATGGAAGGCAAAGCATCAAGCGAGTAAGCACTATGGCACAGTCCAAGTACAGTCATGCACAAGGAAGGAGCAGGGACCTGAAGGTAGGGACCTCTAATGCTGGGTCGAGATTGTTTTATGTTCGGTGGACGCTCGTTTGAAGACGGTGCAAGATACGGAACTTGTACTGCCAGTTTCCATCCAGCTTGTATCAGTGAAAGCTTGGAAGTGTGTGAAACTTTAGGCATATGTGAAGATTCAACATCAGACTACTTTCCTATTCTCTTTTTGCTTTTCTCTTCATAAAAAAGCCATATCGAAATAACCAACCGTAAATGTACGGCAGATGATTACCAGCGCCCTTCACACGGGTGGATGTCAATGAGGACGGAATATATGGCTGCACTGAGAAACCGCACCCACCAAGATCGAAACCATATGGTGAGCATAGTAGTTTACAAGCAAATTAAATAAATTAAGCCTGGTAAAGCTAAAGATCCTAGAAGATGGCTCCCGCTACTCAAGGAATGCATTGACATCTTCAGTGAACTAGTGGCCAGGCTGTTCAGTCTCCCCATCTGGAAAACTGCCGATACTTGGAAGATGGCAAAGATAAAAGCAGTACCACAGAAAGGAAGCACAAATGTTCTGTCAGTAGGGTGCATCTGAAAATGCACGCCAGTTGGTCAGTCGATACTCATCTTTTACTCTGGATGCTGTTGCATAACTGGCACTAGAAAGAATGACAGAGCTATACGACTGGATTATGAGAACACGTTTGACAGCAGTGATCTGCTGCGGCTGTTTGCAGAAGCTAGAAGTCAGGAGAATCCGCCAACGTTGTCCCCAGGCTTTTTAACCGACGGTGTCACAGGTTACTAGAATCAAGAGGATTTCACCAGCGTGAAATTTGTGATTGCTTGGTTCACTCTAGGTAGCTTGTGAATCATTGCAGCATGTATCATATGTGCCTGTTTCGGAGATCTTAAGAGGAAGCAAGATGCATGGAAAGTCTGTAAATAGATTCCTTGGATTGCATGTGGAATTTAGCAAATAGAGGAGAGAGCAAAAAGTGGTCGAACGATCTGGCGTAGACGGAGAGTTATGATGAAAAATCGTAATTATAGGTTGTTCACATCAGATGTAATCTGATATAGCCTAAGTTGAGCCTTTGACTCACGGGTCTCGCCCAAAAAGCATTAAAGATGTGTGCTAACAGCCGCTCATTCAACAGTCAGGCGTCTTACACTGGAATTGCTTGAATGCTCCCATAATTGGAATTATGCTGGAGTTGCCTTGAGGGCCTTTCTCGGAGCTGATAGCTGCGACCTTACCAACCTGAACGCCCAGAAAGAAAAGCATACAAGTCTGACTGGTGCTAGTGCGCATAACAGATTATGTTTGGATCCATAAGGAGCTCATGGCAAACGCCTATCTGACAATGGTCCGATGTTCACGTTCAAAAGTCCAGCGACTGGAGTAAGTGGTCTTGGGTCACAAGCAATTATTGGCGCTCATTAAGGACATTGGGGAACGATATTGACATTCTGTGATTAGTACCATCATCTCGAATTACTATCTCGGTTCAAGTCATACTCATGTCCACTTCAATCACAGGCATCCGTCGCTGACAGGCACGGTGTGATTTGGAAGACGAACGCGTGATGGGGAGTAAAACAGTATAGCGTGGGTTTCAAAGGAAAATGTTTTTGAAGAAGTCCGCGAGCGCCTCAAAGCAAGGATACCGCAGTAAGGAATGCCATTAATCAAAAGCTTATCGTTCGTTGCTAAAACGAAATTTGTTTTAATTCCTACTTCACGCAGTCCGGTTGACTAATAATACCTTCACGCTGTGAGATTCCCAAGACTAGTTTCAAAGAGGGCCTGAATTCAAAATATTGCAAAAAATGCCATAGGAAGACTGCCCACGTGAGTAAGATTTTGAACAAAGCAAATTTCATCTCATGATATACATCACATGAACATCAGACGTGCACCAAAAACCAGAGTTGTTTCCACCTGTTAGGTGAATGCCAAACAACATCAGAATTATCACAGTCCACAAAAACTTTGATACTGAATTTATAGTTGACCATTTTGCCCATCGAAAGGAAATTCACTGGAGCGCTATTAACACATTGGGTTGCGAACCACCGAAATATGGAAGCAGATTGAATCGCGGATAGACACCAAGTTAGCACAGCGGTGACCGCTTCCGGAGTAGCCATGACTTTTTGCGGCCTCCTTTCCAAAGCACTGATGTTACTTAATTCTTTCGATGATCGTCAGTGTCTTCCACGATGTGTGTGAATGAAGGACAATCAAAATTCACCCGTAGTGGATATTGACCTCACCAGTAACGACCTTCCACAGATGCGCTTTCCCCTGTTTCGGACAACTTCCGAAATGGCGGTATATCATTGTGTGGATGTGCTAAAAATTGGTTATCCCACCCAAGCGATTCCCATTTTAGGATTTCTGGCCGACCCTTCATAGGAAATTGGCAATCTTATATAAAAACTAAAACTGAAAGCCATTGATTATCCGCTCAACGGAAAATATCGCGACCACGGGGATTGTTTGTAAGAGAAACAGATACGCAAGTAAACTTCAGAAGACATCGGTTCGTGAAGCACACGGTCATCGAAAACAGATCGAACAGCTTCGCAAGGTCAACGTTCAGTATGATCGAAACCCGAAAGCAAACGAAAAGTAAACGTAACAGGCTCACCTCGAAGAACACGTTCCTCCGCACAGCGATGAAAATCCCATATACGAACAGTGGAGTCATCACTGCAGGTAACGAATTTATTGTCGAAAGGGCAGAAACTAGAAATAACAAAACACATAGTATGCGCGTGTAGTATATTTGCGACAAAATAGGACAGGTGGACGTGGTCCAATTGGAAGACATAAAAAGCACAGCGTCAAGGTCGTACCGAACGTTTCGCATAAAATGGTGTTCAAAATTCGGCATTGGGGATCCTTGCTCCTCGATCTTTGGTGGAAGATAACACAAAAAATCTCGCGGGCAGACAAATGCACGTAAATTATTTTAAACTCGGTGACTTCGTCAGTGAATATGAGTAGAAATGCGCGGATAGACATGTGGCAGATTTTTGGGCTCAGAATCGGCGGATCAGGGGGATGTCAAACACTTGATCCGGATAGTGCCAGCAGCTGTATGGTTTTATATTGCATGAATATCTTCAACTAAAAGATAAAAACTGCCACATACGACACCGAATGTGTCTGAAAAAGTATACGAAGCCTATTTACTCGGTGGTCTGAACTGACCACTCGGTTAACGGAAAAGTCACTCAGCGGATGCTCCGTCACCTCATTTCGCTACAACCGGGTCATTCTGTGATAAAGTGGTTCAAAGGAGCTTCGTAATAGTGATGTTATCTAGGACATACAGGCTCTTCGCGATAAGCCTATTCCCGATTCACTGTAACATTTCCAGCTCCATTGTCGTAGAGCAACCAACGGATGTGGCCAATAAACGTCTTGGGGTGCAATTTCGTCAAAGACCGAACCGTTTGACCAGTCTAGATGTCGGTAAAAAGACTTCATGACACCGGAAGGAACCACCAGGCTACGATAACGCCAACGGTGGTCAGGAGGAACTTGATCCAGGGCAGATCACACTGATGGATCTCCCGGTCAGAAAGGTGGACAATAGCTATTATTTGGGGGAATTTGTGTAGCCTCAAAAGTATCCGTTAGAGCGAGGAAGCAGCCGTACTAGGGGAGCTCTAACGACAAGCATGCCACAAGAGATTTCCATACAAATTCCAGCAGAACCGACGAAAGTGAGCCATCAACTTCATGGTTACGCCCTTCCTGCTTTATCTATTGAGCTACCGCAAATACTTGTGTGCGACTGGACTAAAGATGGTCTGATTACCATTGAAAACAAAAAATGGGCTGATCGATCTTAAAGGCAGTCGGGGATCCGATATACAGATAATAGAACGAAGATTGTTGAATGCAATGTTTATGAGGATATAAGAAAATTAATATCACACGCTCAATGAAAAAAAAGTAAATTAGTCGCTAAATTCAAAAAATACCAGAGCGACTTTGATTTCCTCTAACCGAATGCCCGGTTGGATAGACGTGTAGAGGAAAATACATGGACACCGTGAATCAGAAAGTGAATAGCACAGACGTCACGTAAACCGAACTGAGATTGCTTACAATTCGAGACCGATAGAATGTAACATGTGACTAGTATCGATTGAGGTATGGAGTTTGCGCTACTACCAAACCAGCTAACGTAACAAAATACAGCTTCTGCCAAAGCCAGATACCGATGGATTCAATCGATCTCATCAGTCATGCTTCATACTGAAGAGGAAGACTGGGAAGGAAGCCCGAAGAACTTCGTCCACCTCTTCAAAGATGCATAGCCCACGATGGTTGCTAAATACGCGGAAACATTCACGAGCAGCAAATTGCTCCTGGCCCTGTCTGGTCAAAAACACTTAGGAAAAGCCATTATCATCATCATCGACAGCGTGACGTGAGAGTTCAAGACCGATTCTTCGCTGCCGTACAACCATGATTTGTTTGAAAGCTTTATTGTGGAAAGAATAAAGGTGGACGGGGAGGTGACTTAGCTTACTACAATCACTCAGAGGTGTCCACACCTCCAAACACTCATTCAGGCAATCTGGATAGAAACTGATAAAACCACCACTGATATCGGTTGCCAGTCATATCTTGCAGCGTCTCCAACCAGGCGCAGTGAGAATCACGCGATCCCCATGCTGAAAGGCGAGTAGCATCGACAGCAGCTAAACGTTTCGTGATTTCCTTCATACCCCTCTTCCAGGTCAAGGGTTGGTCACCTTTCTGCTTCCGTCACTCTGAACTGGGCATGCTAAACAGCACTCACATTAGCATAAGTTGGTTAGGTATACGCAACACATGTCCCAACCAACGCAGCTTCTGGTACTGGACACATTCTTCAGTGGAAGTACCTGTTGCATAACCGAAAACTCGCCTTCTAATTGCCTCGTTACTGATATAGGTTACGGGAACAGGTGGTACATGCAAGCCGAACCTAGTCAGAATCGACCTGAGAGTCCATCTTAAGAGTATGAGTCTTCTAGTCAGGCTCACATGTTAGTCTTTGAGTTACTACAAGTGCACAGAAAGAAGTTTGTATTGTTCAGCTATCACACCCTTTCGGTGCCTAGCTGCCATGAAACCCGAGTGAAGCACGAGACGAGATCGCATTTAGCATGACAGTTCAGATTTCCGTTTCAAGAAATGTGCGACTTCTCAACGTCTGTATATCACATTTGTTCTGGCGAAAATAACAGCCCCTGCGTGGAGTAAGTTGTAGCGGTGAAAGAACGAAATTTGAAATAAATTGAAAACCCACAGGTTGGCTCCATTTCGGATCGTTCACAAGTACCGATGAGTACGTTAACCCTGATTATGTTGGACTGGTTGAATTTCCCAGAAAAAATTGACAAAACATCCATTGTGCTTACAGCTTGAGAACGCTGACCCCACACGACAAATCGGCACCAACAGTTTTGTGAGTAGCCGGCTGGACGACCGATAAACTTTGAAGCCATCTATTCACCAGATCATCCCCCCACAACCTGGAGTTGGAGGGCTACAAGCCGCGTGAGTATTCCTTATGTTTGTGGTTATTCAGACCAATGCACTTTTGAGACCGAAATATAACGTGATGAGACTCGGATCAGGAAATAAGCTCTGCATTGATCGAAGGAATCCAATGAGATCACTGACTGACTAAAGTGCACAGGGCCGTGCCGATAGCCTAGGAGTATACATCAATGGGCTTCGTCAGTGAAGCCCAAATCGAACGAAGTTGCTATGGTTCACCGGTCATATGAAGCACATCGAATACTACGGTCCTTCCCCAAACGGTCTGTTATAAATAAACGGACCATCGGTCATGATACTGAAGAATCGTAGTATCTATGAGCGTTTGGGATATTCTTAGTGGACCTCGACAAAAATAGGGTGGTGAATAGGACCCCGATCAACTGCTTTGGCTGCGCGGCAGCGGCAGGTGGCTGAAAAGTGCTGGTCCGTTCTGAGGAACTTATCACCGAAAACATATTCCGCCCCGAACTCACCAGACCTGGAAATCGCCGACTACTTAATAAACTAGTGCAGAAAACGCCATGGCCACGGTTCGTAGCACAGCGAAATGCCAGTATGTGTTTAGTTCCCTTAGGATGGAGATACCCAGTTAGCTACCCCCTGATTTTGACAGATGCCATTGATGATCGAACCTAGATAAGATTGTCGAAAACAGCGATAAGCTTACGAGTCAACATGAACCGTTACTTTACCGATGTTCCGGTGATGAGTCCTGTGTAAATATAGATTGAAAACACCATATCCACAGTTGCCACATTAAAGATAAAATTACGACTTCTTATCGGCCTGTCGGTCGTGTGAGTATCGGTGCTGTGCAGCCTTCCTTACTGGGCTGAGAATCACGAGGTTTCTTCTCATTTCCTATCCACAGAAACTGTCGTGAATGCCTGACTTCGAGGAATCACTATCTCAGGGTGCTTCCACAGAGTGGATACCACAATAGAGGATATCCAGAGAAAAACAATATACAGTGCCAGACGAGCTGTGGGAATGCTGCTCGGCGTTCATGAAACTGGTAAAGGTAAATTAGGGCCAACCGATTTCTGAAAACCCTAATAGACTGGTATAGCCTTATTGACGCACAGAGGGACACTGTCACTGTGAAAACGGTAAAACTGCATACTTCCAGACAAAGCAACGTGCAACACAGACTAACGTCATCCTAGGAATCGCCAAATATAATCAGAAATCAGCTTATTTTCGAGCATATGTGATTTCATTGCACAAACGGCTGTCGTTTCGTAATCCAAGGATGGATTCAAGAATGGATTCGTACGAGCCTACAGGTTAGTCACCAGCCGGATTGCGTCAGTAACAAAAAAAAAACAAGACATTGATAAGTGGTGGCGTATTGTGGGTGACTCAGAAAAACGGACCTACCAAGCTTAAGCACGCTGAAAAATGCACTGTATAGTCATTGGCGAAAACCGCGATGAGGAACATCAGATGAGTAGTGAAGTTTCGAAGGCGCACCTAAACAAACTTCGAATTCTACACTTTGTTACGAATTGCAAGGACGGATCGCGATGCCAGAACCGCTCCCGACAAGTGAGGCTGTTCTCACTCAAGAATCTCCTATATCCCATGGATTAAGTGCAGCCTCTCCTTATAAACCGAGGCCAGGATTGTTCTTGTCGTAAACACATCTCTCATCCAGCGCAGTATTTGGATGAAGTGGGGAGTTTAACGGATGGCAAGAACGGTGGTGAACGAAATCCTTCTCTCAAGAACCAACATTACCAGCCGTAGAATTCCGACCGGCAGATCAGCGTTTCCAGCTATTGAACAATCGGAGGTATCTGACATACAAATCAGCTCAAAACATACATAAAGTATCCGTTTTACACTAAGCTCGCATATAAGCATTGAATTAAATGCACCAGCCACGTTTTATTGGAATCAAGTTCTCATGGAACAGCCTTCTTTCCTCAAAGGTTCCAAGCACACAAACCGACCGGACACTCCCACATAGACTGATTGGCAGTACGGCATAGATCCTGCTCTATCAAAATCGAGTTCAACCAATAGCGGGCTACGAGCCTCCCCCTCGCATCCATGAATGAAAGCTGTTCTTTGACGATCAATGCACAAGTGGATTGCACGAGGTCGTGGTTGTGTCGAGAGTGCGCTGATCCGGGTGGTGTGAATTTTCGGCTTGTTCGCAATGTGCCCGAAACGGAGCTTGGCTTGAAGGACAAAAAGTGCCTGGATGTGCGGCGGTAGGATGCGCAGCGAAATGAGCAGGAAAGAGAGCAAGGACTTATAAAACAGAACTGAACCGTTTACCGTTGGAGGATTGACACTGGCAAGAGGCGTGGCAATTGAAGCTCTATAGTAACACACAAACCGTTCGAATTGAAGTTGCACTCCTTATGAAATAGTCGTTCCAAAGTATGCGGATGTCCGGTTATTTTTAGCAAAAAGTGCGCATACATGGGTAAGCCCTTTGCAAATCTCCACTTGATAAGACCTCTGCCGTACCTTATCCCGGCCTGACAAGCCTCGATATCGCTGATAACCGCGTTCACATCGTTGTTTTTTATTGATTTGATGATATGATCACATCGTTGTGGCAAAGTGGATAACCGAAATGTCAAATAAAGGTAGCCTACCCTTTTTTGGTAAGTCTGGTTACTTCACAGATGCCCCCGGCAGACAAAAGCAACTTTTTGTCTCCCTCTCCCAAAGAAGGTGGATTCTACCTACAACGTACGCGAGCATTCGGCAAAGGATAATCAAACACGGTAGTTAACGTTCAGAGTTCGGCGCTTGTGCTGTCACCCATGATGACGTCAAGACCCTAAGTTGACACAGAAGTAAATCGCTGGCTAATACGCTTACTCATGTTGGCGAGAGTTAGTTCCAGGGGTGGGGATCCCGGAACACGGTGCATCAACGATTAGACACCTTGATAGACGTCCCGGCAATGTAGCCGACGCCATATCCACCCCATTGCCTTTCACGCAAAGCCAAACCTTCGATTCGCATGGCTCAAAGAAAGCACTAGTAAGCCACGTGTCATAATTGTTAAGCATGCATGTTGCTATCTCTATCGCGCGGATCTCTACCCGTGTTCTCCCACTGCTGGTCAACAGCAACGTGGAAGAAAGCAGCGTCGTAAGGCTTGTACAAGGTTTTCATTAAGTGACACATTGAGACAGATCTACGCAGTTGCTTCAAGAGAATCAGACCAAGGGGTACCACATGTTCCCTTAAGAGAATCGGGTCTCACCAGCGATTTTGGAGTCGGATGAGTCACAAAAACCGATAGGTAACTACATATTGAACCTAAATGCGTATAGCAAGCAGACAATGTGAATCTGTTGACCGAACACCATTCATGAAGGGGTGCTAGGAATTATCGACTGTCAACTCGTGGTGAATGATTTACAGTTCAGATAAGGCAGTTATTCCTTCAAGTTATGTCTGAGACCTATCAATCGGATATAATGGGTTAGACAACCATCAAGAAAACATTTCAATACTCACGGCTCAATGGCATTGCAAGACAACGACTTATTCACCGAAAACTATTTACAGCGAGTCCAAACCATTTGGATGATTGCCTAAACGCGTTTGCGTCACATGTAACGCCTAGTTTCATGTAAGATTTGTAGCCCTTACCATAAAACAGTGCAATCAACCCTAGGATTTTGGTCACCCAGTGAGCAGCTCGACAGTAAATACGATTAAACCACTCCTAACCGAGTTCACTATAAGGACAGTGACTCAGACTCCAACCTGACGGATAACGGATTTGTGACTTTTTGAGGATACTGAAATTTAAATGTCAAAGTAATCATGAAGATCCAGAGCGCGGAAAACTGTCTGCCCTTATCAATAATTCCAACCGAACACCAGAATAAATTCCTTTGCAATCCATTAGTGGACAATAAAGGTGGGAGACTCTGTGCCCCCGCACTAGTGAGTGCAGAAAGGTTACCCAGGAAATCGACAATTAATAACAGAGAGTCAAGAGAGGTATATGTATGTAAACGATGCCCATGACGATAGTTTCGATTTCGTAGTTAAAGTTCCTAAGACTTCCAGAACGGAACGCAAGCGTATACAAGACACTGTATGGGGGGACGCGAGTAATGACAAGCTAAGCAATAGTCAAATTAATCTAAACGTGTTCAAAAGTTCCTGGTCCTGAGAAGACACCAACGAAGGCCAACATGCCAGAACGCCTAGGCCTGAATGGGATTTGCCCAGAATCTTTTTGGACTAGACGGATTATATACAAAAACGCACTAGTTGTCAAATATTACTACGGAGATGCACTCCACTCTGTTGTGAAGATGATAAATCAAACTTGTTTCATTAATAGTTACTGATCACCGACAAGGACTGTCAGCAAACGAACCAATTCGAGTGTTGCGAAAGAAAACACCCCTTGAAAGGTAGCCAGAAAACCCATGGTTATCCAGAGTTCTAAATTCAATCAAGTCAATTTCTAGACATTTTTGTTTGTATTCATCTGCGGTTCAATTAGTATCGTATACATGTGCATAATAGCAAAACTATAAACCGTTGTCGAGGAGTTGACCGATTGCGGGAATTAGAACACTCGAATGTAGAAGGATAACAGCACCGAAGCCTGAGTCGTAGTCCAACAGTCAAAAACAAGCATACCTGATATAACTACCACAAGCCACTTGAACCGTCTACACCCGGTATTTTGATGTGTTGTCTATCATCCGGGGCATCGAGCAAGGGAGAAGCCGAACACCAGATGGAGCAACAAAATGCGTATCAAGACATGTGAATAACCGTCATCGGTAATGAAACCCGAAGTCACGAGTGACAGTTGTAAGCGTACCCGCTAGACGAAACAAAACAACAGGCATAAATTCCACTATGGCGATGCGGTAATACTGCAACGGAAGACTGAGACCTGCGTAAGGAAGTAGTAACCGTCTCTCTGCCGATTGTGAGTACCCACCGGGTCAACAATTGGAGGTTGACATTGTTGGAGGTATTCGACTCCAAACATTGTTGAACAGAAAGGATACCCCATGCAGAAACAAGAGATAAGATCTTTATTGTGCTTAAGAATTCAGAAGAACCGCTGTATTTTAGGCTGAACCAGTCGGCAGCCGTAGAGTACAGAGCAGTCAAAGCAACTAAACGCAACTTCGTGTAACAAAGCCACGGGGCATGCAAAAAATGAGCAAGTTCAGTCAAATGAGTCACCGGATTTCTGAGATAACAGGGGTCGTCCAAATGAGCATATGCGTACCTGACGCCGCGTATCGGTTCTTTGTGAGCTTGATACATCTCCACATTGTTCATATTAGCCTGCCAGTACTTGACGTAGCCGGAATGATCTGCTGTAAGGAGCCACTCTTCATTATGCGACCACTTCATGCAGCGAATCTGTGATTCATGAGCCTGACGGAGTAAGATGACAAACTATGCTTAACAATTTGAAACAAATGAAGCGATTCAGTAGATACAAATTACAGGAACAAACGCCCCACAGTGCAAAATTACTAGATTCAACACACTAATCCTACATACAGTCTGGTAACCACACAACTCGAGTGGAACCAAACGTTCACAGTAAAATACCTCGGCGGGGCGGACAAGTCAACCAGCAACCCCACCAACTGAACAACTCTATTGATGGCCGCTTTATGTTATGCGTGTGCAATAAATGCTTTGAAAAACTATGCCTCATGATTTTGAACGCAAGAAGCCTCAGACCGTGTGGTCGCGACCCCAAACATCTTCAAATTGATAGAACTTTAGTGAGGCAGCCAGACGGCTGAATGGGTCAACAATGAGTGGTTAGTAGATCGAAAACAATGATCACGAGCAAACACGCGTAGCGCCAAATTTCCACGGTAATGTTGTTCCAAATACATGGTAAGAAAAACTATAACTCTCCACCAGTGAAATAATTGAATTCATGTGGGAATTAACGTACAATAGTTAGATAAGATTGCTAACTGGAACAGTCCGTAGTGAGCTTCGGATTAAGTTCAGCTGGGTTCCGAGCCAACCAAATACTGACCTCGTGGGGACGGGAGAAGGAACCAGGCATCGCGTAGACATCGATGTTCAAGTGGCTCTAAGACATGGGAAGACATGTAGCGTAGGAAATACGAGTGTGGGAGATCGATGGTCTTTGCGATCACGGCTGCAACGTCGACCCACTTCTTAGGTAACTGGCCCAAGTTGTAGTTGTAAGTGACAAGTAAAGCTTTCCTGCTAAGATATAACTCCACCCCTTGGTCGTCAGATTTCACTAGCTTACAGAGCCACATAAATCCAAGTCTTGGATGAACGGACTGTTCGATTCTCTGAAATGGGATTCCTGGGAAGCGTCCTGTTACGATAAAAGAAGTACCATACAATACCACGTGGTTCGCTTTTGAAGAGCTTATTTTTCCCACCACAATGTGCTACTAATGTTGCCATGCGCCTTGGTATGTGCTTTGCGTCTTCAAAGTGTTATTACAAGATTGAGCACATGCCACTCGAGATACTGTCATGCTGCCAGAGCCAAGAGGGCAGCAGTCGGTATGCCAGGGTGGGTACTAGCCATGAACCCCAGGTAGTAAGTTGATACCTAGACCGCTAAGCTATACCAAGCTCCGTGTGCCAAATGATCCATTGCCTCGCCATGCCCTGTTTGGTTAGGCAGGTTCAAACTGGAAGTGCGTTTAAGTTTGGTTCGGTTTTTCAGCTCACAAACTGTGCACCAATGTGCAGTGGTTCCAGCTGCTACAGCTCCGTTCACCGAAGATAAAGGGAGTAAGGGGATGAGAGCCATGCCCTGGTGGCGACGGACAAATCTGTGTATTGGTGTATATCCGGTAGGGCGGGCATGTGATAGCTTTGACGCAGGAACGCCATCGGCTGCACGACACAGCCATACCTGTAAGGATCACCAACCACTGGTCTGTCCCGTAAGGCGGTCCGCACCCGGGCAGACAACAGTAACCAACGCGACTGAGTTGAGTGGTAAGGACTCTCATGCTTCGATGCTAAGTTAAGGACTGACCGCCAGGGTCGCCTCGATCCGGCACCAGTCTGGAGGAGGAAGATTCTATTAGGCAAAGTCCCCTAGCATAAGAAGTACACGGCCTAACAAGTTTAACCAGTGAAGTGTGACCGGCTGATCTATCGAGGGAGAGTGAACGATCCTGAAAACCACCCGGCGTACCTCAGCGTTACTGGCCAGGTCTTCCCACAAGATTAAAGAAATGCCTCGGAGGGACCGACGGCCAAATGAAAAGAACCTCCTAAGGTCTTCCGCATGCAGCGGCCTCGTCTCTGATGCATAAAGTAGGATAGATCGGACCTAGGAACTGTACATTCTGACCTTGACAGTCAAGTTGATGTTACATCAGTGCCACAAATGCTGACGACAGAGGGTGTGGTGAACTTACGAGGTGATTTGCCGTAGACACATACACAACCCTGAACAGTTATATTGGACCTTTATAAGAGACTAGAATTTGAAACGGACTTCTTTCATGGACAGACACTGCCACGGTTTCTGACGGCCAACGTAGTCAAAAGTATGCTTAAGGTAGAGGAAGACGACAACCGTCGGTCGTTGGAAGCAGTACCGTAGTCCCAAGACTTGTTGCAGGATGATTGACGACAAAACCCAGCTTGATTCGCGCGAAATTGATTTTCCTGACAATGAATCAACCTGCGCACGGTAACACCAGGGAACGCCTTGGAAACTACGGACACTAGGGCTGACGCCCCGAAATTCTCCGCACGATCTTCTTGCATATGGGAATCACCGTCGAGACGCTCTATTCTCTTGGAATATTCTCCATATTCCAGATATTTTAAAGTAGGTCGTTAGGTTAGCCGTGATGGACTGACCACCTTTGAAGAGTGCAGGATACAAACCATCTGGACCAGATGCTTTGTAGCGCCGAAGCAATGAAACTGCACGCCCGACTTCTGTTGTCGATGGGGGTTGACGTTCAAGTTCCACCAACTAGATAGCTCATGATCTAGAGAAGAACCACGGAAAACATAACAAAGGATCTTGGCGGTAATGGTGCACATCTTCTGCGAGGATGGGCTAATAACGACTCACAATCTCCATGGATGAAGGTGCTCACCGACATGGTAACATCAGGTAGCCGGTTGCAGTGCTTTATATAGTCTATTGCTCTTAATCACTAATTCACTGGTTTTTTGCCCTAAGTTATCTGCTACCATAAGTTGCGACGACTTGAACCACCTTGCCTGCGTACATAGTCCACGGTTGTCAGATGAAATGAAAACGCCAACATACCCTCCAGCAGAGCTCGAGATAGCTCAGTAATTTAGGTGCCAGCTTACGGATCGAAAGGTCCGTGGTTCGAGCCCAAACTCAGCATCTCGACTGCTCCTGTCTAGCCTTTGGCAACCTGGCAGTATCCCAGGCACCGTGCCCCCTTCCGTTGGTATGGAAGCTAGGCACCCAAAGAGTGCGACAGTTGAATAATCAAATTATTTCAGCTTCTCCAACAGACTGTAATCCAGACGGGAATCCTAGGGTAATCAGATTTTGTCAAAAAAATTATCCGATAAGCAAGAACCTTATATATAACGATATGGCACCTACTCTGACTGCCAAAGCTGGCCGAATAACCCAAGGAGCAGTACACTTGGACGATCGATTTGGTGACAGTGCCCACCGCACTTCTGCTAAGTTCTCCAATTATGTGCTTCATTCCTGACTAGCGTCAGCTTTCAGCAAAAGCGCTTGAACTCTTTTGCCAAAGACAATCAGCTGCGGACTGATCATAGACTTATTTGGACTCTGGTAGTTAGCTGCTAGTAGATATTCAAATCAAGATGACCATACCATATGGCGATACGGAATTCGTAAGACCTCCATCACCAACAACTTCCTGTGATCTGACACAGATGAGCAGACAAGATTGAGATACATCAGAGACAGCAACATCACTGCTGACACTGACGCCACTCGCAGAGATAAAGCCAATCTGTAGGTATCCATTGACAAGGTCGAGTGATCACATGACAGTCGACAATTCGGTTGTGTCACACAACCGCCGACCCACCGCTACGCTCCATTACGCCCTCTAATAACGCACGGATGATGTCACCTCGATTGGTGATAAAACTTTCGCGATCAAATTACCCAGATCGGTGAACAAACCAACGACCATCTGCGCCGTCTGAGCGAGTAACAGTGCTTCAAGATTCTCCCAGTGTTTACAATCGGGGGCGAGATGGCTCAAGTGGTTAGAGCACGAATTTACTGACCGGAAGGTTCGTGGTTCGAAACCGACCTCTGACTCTCGACTTCCCTGTCTAGACTTGGGCAACCCGGCAGTATCCCATCCCTCGTGCTTCCTTCGGGTGGCATGGCAGCCAGACACCGTAAGGGTGTTACAGCTGAACGAAAGTCAAGTTCAGTCATCCTGAGTGATGTTACAAAGACCAAACCCGCAACTACGGTGGTGCAGGCAGATGCCTGAAACACCATCTACTAACAAATGATAAAGATCGCTGGTGGAAAGCGAAAGTCTAAGAAAGCAAGATATGTACAACTGGTACCAGTCAGCTTCATTCACACTGACAAAATTAACCGATCTAAAAACACCAGTGTGAGCGAATCAACGGAGCAACAGATCACTCCGAACGTTATCATGAATGAACAGTCAAACATTCTGAATAATTGGGTCGGCTTCAGCGGTGGCCCATGGAATTGACACACCCGTTCTCCATTCAAGACAGATATACGAAGCACAATTTCACACCCAAGAAGCAGACCGCATCCTCACACTATTAAAAGCTAGCCAGACAGCAGTAAACTGCTAGTACGATATTCTCGAAACATTCAAAGACTCCGTCCTCTAAATACGGAAAAGCTCCGCCGAAAAGCCGAGTACTACATAGCTGTTTCATTCTCATTTGGAATTATTAGCAGTGCGCACCTCACGAAAATCTAGTAGGGAGTTTTTAGCCCGCGACATCCCTGTTACAATACAACTACGTGACCACGAGTGGTTGATCAGCTATGTGATAAACTCGTGCCTAGACAGAGTAGAGCGCCGCTCATTCTCCAGTCACGGAATTCATATCACGTGCTACCGTGTTGAGTAGCTCCTTGAGTAGCAAATTCTTAAATGGGAGGTCCATAGTCATGCGATTTATTTTCCCTTGTGAGCGACCTATGGCCTGTTGATAGTATGAGATTTTGAATTTTTCAACTGAGTACGAGTTAACGCAACGCAGATCACCTTTTGTGGCCGAACGTTTGTTTCTCAAGGCTGCGAGATTCGTGAGATGCACACTGCTGAATCCTTATAATTAAACAACTGTGCAGCACTTCTCCGCAAAAACTGGCCTCTCTTACAGTCTCAATCTCAATTTAAAAAGCAAGTCTGGAATAACGACTTAAGAACTCTATGCAATCCGAAAATATGACGGGCGCGGTACAGCCAAGATGTCAGGAGCAACTGCAAAGCTAGCATGAAAGAACTCCAAGCAAACATACGAGAAGGACACGAGATCACTGTCCACAATGGTTTGCGGACTTCTTGCGAGTAACACCGTGGCATACACTTGCTCGTCGGAGACCCCGAAACTATAGCGACATTTGAGCGACTACCGGGAGAATAAGATCTTGCTCAACTACGGAAGGAGCACATTCATCACATATTCGCCGTGCTCTAAGCACTTGAATAACATCACTGTTTTCGATGGTTAAAGTACTCTTATGAGTATGAAGACTGCTTTTGACCACAATGGTCATCAGGTATCATGACTACGTCCGTTAGGCATCCCACTTAAATCATTGTTGAATTACTATCAGTGCACTAACTTCCGTAGATACCTAAGAATCTACGACGCACTTATCTGGGTCCAGGTGCCAGGTAATGCTGTCCTTTATCGACCACTGTTTAAATTTTGCCATTGACATGCTGCTCCAAGATCCCAAACTTGCCTCTAGTGCATACAAGCCGAAATACTTTCATGGTTCCCTCTCACCGACTGTGAATGAATCGGGTTCTTCGGAAACGAGTCGTTGTGAATAACATACCTAAACCCATAGCTTAGCTTGGCATGCAATCCCCGCCTGTGAAAGGGCAGTGACGAAAATCCCGGAAGTGCAGGTGAGCTACTCAACCAAGAAGATTTATGCACCTGGGTATTTGTGTATAACACATTGGAGTGGAAAAAATAAAATCACTTCCCAAGTGGGGAACACCCAAAAACCTCCGACGTCCATCAGATTTTCTGATGCTACGGCAACCCCAGTAAACGATGCACTTCCGTCTGTTTTAGTGACGAGGTGACCAGAAAACAAGCTGACAAAACAAAACACAACTCCAGCAACCAAAGAAGCATGTGTTAACCTAATACTCAGACGATAATCACAGGGCTCACTGGACTGACTACTTCCTAGTAGGGTACGGAAGGTTCTTCTGCACAGAGAATACCCGTTCCTCTAGAGTAGCAGAAGTAGGGAACCAAGGGCAATTAGATCGCATTCTCATACGAACAAAGCCAGAAACCTCGTTTGAAAATACAACACTACCCTCAATTGTCTGAATAAGCTACCACTAAACTAGGATCTTTCTCAGTCTAACCCAAGGGATGGACATGCGGACACCGTACGCAGATTAAGGCAACATTGTGCACCAACATGTCAAGCAGTTCGGTCTGTCAGAAACAGTCAGAATCGCTGCCAGACCGACAAGGCAATAAGCATGGAAACTGCCTTAGATCTGGGTGACTGCGCGACGATAGTTCGCCATCTCAGTCGCGGAGAGACCAGACCTTATCTTGGTGCGTTTGCACACTTCAGCAATCCTGAGTCGCACTCGAAGACACCAATGCAGCATGCATTCTCTCATACAAAACTACTCTGACATACACAACCACCATGATGAGAGTTGGAACAAGTGCGGCAGTTCGTTCCCTGAAATTTCGGCCATTCAAGCAGTCTCAACCCGATCACCACTGTCTTGCGGCGTATTGGTTGAACCGACGGCTTTGGTTGAGGACCCTAATCATCCTCCTGACTAGGTTTGACTAATCTGAAAGCACCTCAGACCACATAGAACCATGAACTCTACGGACGAAATTCCCCTCATACTGCATTGACCGTCGAGAGATGACACTAGCCCGGTCGTCTTATTCATTGCATGTTAAGGCGGATAAACAGAAACACAGGACTGCTGATACCATTTATCTTTCTACACTTTTTAATTTCCAACTCCCAACCTGATAATATATCTAGCGTAGATCTCAGTTGTGAGCACGTCAATCGCATCTGTTGAATGGACACATTGCACGCCACCTTTCACCTTTACTGCCCCACGCTAACTATTCAGGACTCGTTTTTTTGTCTTTGCTAGTCTTCAATGTTAGGACCTTTAGACAGACCGGCCGACAAGCTTTTCCTGCATGTCCACGATTCCAAAGCAACCTCTGCATCTCGACTGCTCCTGTGTAGGCTTGGGCATCCTGGTAGTATCTGGTACTTCTTTCGGGTGATATGGCAGCTAGGCAGAAGGTATTACAGCTGAACGGTTATTTCTGACAAAAACTGGCGGCTGTCGAGATAAAAAACGTCCATTTACACACCAACGGGCAATAGCTCGGATTCATCGAAAGACATACCTAGAAAACCTTGCCTGCCATGAAGATCTCGAACACAGCCTTAGTGGCAAATTTAAACGGACAGGTAAAACGCATCCGCTCATCAGAGGCACACCTTGGTGGTATGTTTAGCCCGAAGGCAAAAAAAAATTGTTTGGATGTAGTACCCTTTCGGTGCTACCTACCATGCCAGCCGAAGGAAGCACCAGATACTGCCAGGTTGCCCAGGCCTAGAAAGGGAAGTCGAGACGAAGAGGCTGCTTTGGAATCATGGACCTTCCGGTCAGTATATCCGCGCTCTAACCATTGAGCCATCTCGCCCGAAAGCAAAACCCACTGATAATGGTAAACGTTTTCTACAATCAGTTTTCACAGCAGTACTGGGTGTAGACAAAGAGGCGCCGCTGTGCTATCAGAGTCCCCTGACGCTGAGCAGGTTTGGAGTCAAACTGACCACGTCGCCATCAGATGCCAATGGCTCGGTTCAGCTCTTGGTTGCCGATCGTTTTGAAATGCATATGTTGATTTAAATTCCACCCTTGCTCGACGAAGATAGTTTTCCATTAAACTCTTCGCGCAGGCGGGGTCATGGGGACCCCATCGTGGAGGAAATATAGCGCCAACAACACCCGAACTCGTTGTAATCTCTTTCGCAACCTTCCGCCCAGTTGCCCACCTCGTGGTTGCGCCATTCTGAAGAAGGCAAGGAGACCATGTTTTGGCGTGTGTAGAACATAGCCGAGCTATCGTAGTCGATGGTGCTGGATGTTTCCTGCGACTGAAGTACCCGCTGAACAAACAAATGCCCCTTTTCTAAACCACCTCGCTGATAATTCGTTGACGCCATCCAAAACCAACAACGCTCCCGAGGAATCAGCGGTAAAAAAAACCTGACGAAGCTTCACATCATATGTCCGCAGAGGCCACATCAGGCAGCCAGACAACACAGCCCATACTGTAGCCTGTCACACGCGACCCTTGAGAACTAATGATGCCTTTTTAACGCCACGAGTGACGCAAATTAGCAAACGTGATTTGGGCCTTTGATACTCAAGCACTGAGTTCTTCAGACACACTTTCGTCGGAGTTAATACAACTGCTGAGTCGTGTAAAAGGAGGGCAATGTCGTCTGCGTACCCCAGATCGACGAGGTTCTCACCAGCAACAAGTCGAAACCGGTGTGTTCCTTGGTTTGAAAACTGCCTTTGACTCTGTGAACCGTCAAGCACTATGGTAGTGCACGTGGAGCTAATGTTTCCCCCATAAATGTCTGACCCTCCTTAAAAAATCGTTCAGCTGCAACACCCTTAAGGTGCCTAGCTGCCATGCCACCCAAAGGAAGCACCAGGGCTGAGATACTGCCAGGTTGGCCAAACAGTGACTTGGCAGCGAAGTATGAAAGCCATTACCGGCAAATTCAGTTGAGCCGGTCATTGCCATATCCCTGGATAGGGAACCGACATAAGACACATCAGTGGTTAGAGATATTGTCAGAAATGGGCTAGTCGAGCCCTCAGTGGCCCTCGTGCATTCAAGCTACTGCCTTTAATGCTTCACTCCCCTCCCAATCTCTCCAACTAAAAATCCACTGACAACCCTGTATTTAGACCTCAATTAGATCAGCAACATCTAATGCGCTGCTATCTACTACTTCTCCCTAAATCAGTGAAACTGTAGAAGCTATAGCCACTGTAAAAGTAGGCGGTTCTTACGTTGTTGATGATTATGAACCGCAGCGGCCTCTGCACCACCACCTGGAAGAAAGCGTGGGGCAGTCAATTTAATCAGTATTGCGTCCTGTATCCTTGCTTTTTACATACAACATACATCAATGCAGCAGGAACCCAGCGCACGAGCAACAGTAAATTCTTTTCCCGTTTGCTTCAGGGTTCCAACAATGAAGGAAGCTAAGACAAGAGTTCATGGTCTGGAGACGAAATTCGAAATATTTAGGGTTGTTACTGGAGTCGGACAGAGGCTGCGGCTATGATGCATGGCAAACAAAGTGGTCAGCTCGTGCTGGGATCTGTAGATAGATTATTCAAATTGAGATGGGGTAGGGTAAAGGGGATACGTGAAAATGTAAGAGGCATCATAAGTAGCATGATTTCGCTTGACCACCTTGACTTACGCAGGAAGCTGACCCGGTTTGTGACACCACACCATGGCCGACGTGGCATGAGATCATTCGTGTGTGTGCGATTTATGATTATGTGTGCGCTGGGATACTGTCAGGACACTCACACATCATCATCATCATCATTGTCAGCTGTAAGAACCGCGTGCTCGTCGTACACTGGTTGTAGCTGCCACAGTTTCGTTCACCGATGATTGGGGGGGGGGGGGGGTGGCTGGGCATTGCACGCGCG